CTATTGCCTGAATGTCATATGCACATTTTTTTTTTTGGTTACATCTTTAAATATAGGGCCTTGAACTTTTCTATAGTGTAAAATGTAAAACATCTGTGGTTTTGTATTGAAGACAAAAGTTGTCACCAGCATAAAATAAAAGCTGATTGTGCCATGTATCAAGGGTACTGACATGGACAAAAGTTTCCACTTAGCTTCAATGTGATTTAAATTTATCAATTTATTTATAAACCCTGATTAAAATTATATCATGATACCTTCAAGGCTGTATTTTCTAAATAACTTTTTACGATTCTCCATATTCTTCCCATCCAAAGGGAAATGCAATTACATATTGGAGCAGTTAAGAGTCTAAATGAGATATTCCAGTGGTTAAAATAGTGGTTTATACAGTTACTTAAGAGAAAAGAATGTCTCCACTACAGTTTAAATAAACAACTGGATCTACATTATTCACTGGTGAAAAGAAAACTCATCTACATGTCTGAGCAACAGGAAAAAAGATCCCATCTGTAAGCCCTCCAACCATGCAAGCATGGCTAATTCTGTTATTCTGCCTAAAAATTCACCAATGTCAACTTATTTTGCTGGCTAAATCATGCAACTATGAAAGAGGGACATTTAATAAACTTTGGTAGCTGCCAACTAGAACATCCTTTTCCTCTGTAGTAAGGTAAGATCAGGACACTATTGGGTTGCAGTTTGTAAGGCAAGTCAGCAATACGTTTGGCCTATGGGTCTCTGCCAGGAGGAGTAGATCAAGCAGAAACTACTATCAGATTAGGGAATAGGCCAGATGTGGGAATGGAATAAAATTGTCTTAATACCTTCAGTTCCACCTTTTATATCCTTTCCTCCATTTGTTCTTAAAATGTAATGCCTCAATGACTGAATCCTTCAATAAAGCCTGAACTCAGATTCTTTTTTTTTTTTTTTGAGTTGGAGTCTCACTCCGACACCCAGATTGGAGTGCTATGGCATGCTTCTGGCCACCACAGCCTCAACCTGCTGGGCTCCAGCGATCCTTCTGCCTCAGCCTTCTAAGTAGCCAGAAGGACAGGCAAACGCTACCACCCCTGGCTAATTTTTGATTTATTGTAGAGACGAGGTCTCACCAAGTTGCACACGCAGGTCTTGAACCTGCGGGCTCAGGCAATTCACTCACCTCAGCCTCCCAAAGCACTGAGATTACAGGCTGAGCCACTGAGCTCGGCCATGAACTCAAATTCTTTATTCAACCATTGTATACATGATCACCCTCAAGTATTATTATGACTACTACTACTATTATTGAAAAGTTTTAAGCAGAAATAGACCAGATATTCTCCTATAAACACAATTACTCTGACTGTTGGGTAGAACATGGATCGAATGGGACAAGAATAGAAAGAGAAGATGATTTTAGGACTATTACGGAAGACTGGTGAGAGGAGAAAGTGGTGAATGTAACCTGAGTTAGGGTGATGTTTTGACACAAAGAGAAATGGAGATATTAGAGCAGTGGCTGCACAAAACAAACATCTGAGAACTTTAAAAACATTCTGAAGCCTGAGCTCCACCCTCAGAGGTGTTGATTTACTTTTCTGGGGTGAAGCCTGTGCACCAGTATCTTTTCTCAGTTAGGGGTTTGACCCAGTGGCTCAGAGTGTGCTGTGGAGGACTTGATGTGTTAGAAGGGAGTAGATTAAAAAGAGGGAAGTTTCTTGCATGGCAAATAGATTTCTGGCCATTTACAGAGAAAGAGAAGATTGGGAATCCAGAATTTTATGTGGACTATTCTGATATTTTTTCTTTACTTGGCAATATTGTAAACATCATGCATATCAATTTTGTATAGAAAAAAAAGGAAGAAGAAGAAAGAAGGAAGAAAGAAGAAGAAGAAGAAGAAGAAGAGGAGGAGGAGGAGGAGGAGGAGGAGGAGGAGGAGGAAAAGAAGAAGGATCTAACATGTAGGTGGCCAGTTGTAACTTCTGCCTAAATCAGGAAGGTTAAACTCTAATTATGGATTTTGGACTCTCCCAGAATATAGGAATGAAACACTTAGAAACACATCCATTAGTTACTTGACACCTCACTAAGAATGAGGTGAACTGGTGCATTTGGGGCATTACAATGTTGTGTTAATTTATTCCTTCCTTTCCTCCTTCCCTCCATTTCCGTTTTAAGTAATAACACTTTTCAAGGAAGTAAAAACCTTTTATTGTAAAGGTCCTCCTTCAGTTCTCTGATTAGGAAGATGCCGAGGTATTTCTTTTTGTGTGTATTTACGGTGAATGGAATTGTGCTTTTTATTTGGTTCTCTGCCTGTTTGTTGTTAGTGTATAAGAATGTGACTGTCGGCCAGGCTCGGTGGGTCAGTCTGTAATCCCAGCACTTTGGGAGGCTAAGACAAGTGGATTGCCTGAGCCTGAGGGTTTGAGACCAGCCCAGGCAACGTTGTGAGACCTCTCTCTAAAAAAATTAGCCAGGTGTGGTAGCATGTGCCTGTAGTTCCAGTTACTTGGAAGGCTGAGGCAGAAGGATCGCTGGAGCCCAGCAGTCAACACTGGAGTGGCTGTGAGCATGCCACTGCACTCCAGCCTGGGTGACAGAGTGAGACTCTAATTCAAAAAAAAAAAAAAAAAGAATGTGACGGTCTTTTATACATTTATTTCATACCCTGAGACTTTGTCAAAGAACTATATCAGTGAAAGGAAGTTTTTGACAGATTTGTTTGGATTTTCAAGGTACAGGATGATATCGTCAGCAAAGAAGGATAACTTAACTTTGTCTTTTCCTATTTGGATACCTCTGATTTCCTTCTCTTGTCTAATTGCTCTAGCTAGAACTTCTAACACAATGTTGAACAGGAAGGGTGAGAGTGAGATCAAAAACACATCGAGATACCACCTAACCCCAGTCAAAATGGCCATCATTAATAAAACAAACAACAACAGATGTTGGCGAGGATGGGGAGAAAAGGGAACGTTTCTACACTGTTGATGAGAATGCAAACTAGTTCAACCTCTATGGAAAACAGTGTGGTGATTTTTAAAAGAACAAGAAATTGGCCTTCCATATGACCCAGCAATCTCCTTACTGAGAATATACCTGAAGGAGCTCAAATCATTCTACAAAAAGGATACCTGCTCACACATATTTGTTGCAGTACTATTCACAATAGCAAAAACATGGAACCAACTGTACTGCCCACTGAAACTGGACTGGATAAAAAAAAGTCATACATGTACATGATGGAATATTATGCAGCCATAAAGAAGGACAAACATATGGACTTTGCAGCAACTTGGATGGATTTAGAGTCTATAATACTGAGTGATCTATCACAGAAACAAAGAACAAAGTACCATATGTACTCACTCATAAGTAGACCCTGAACATTTACCATAATACTACAAAAAAGGGATCAGTAGTAGCGGGATGCTGCCGGGATGAGGTTGGGAACACAACATCTCAAACCAGGCAAGGTAGAGACCAAAGGGAGGCCCAAACTTTACGTCTAGGATGTCCACTTATATACTTAATCCTGAATTGTACCCCACATCTTTAAAATAAAATATACAAAATAAATAAAACACACACAAACAAAACAAAACAAAAACAAATAAAAAAATCTTATACAAGATCATTGTTAAGTAATAGAGCTAGGTCTCAGACTCACACTGGATTAATTCTTAAGCCCGGACTACTTCCCAAGCTTGGTTTTCAGCAGACGTGTGTTGCGTGTGTGTGTGTGTGGGGGGGGGGCAAATATAATAGTCTTTACATAATCTCCCTTTAGAAAATACAAATTATATATGTAAGGGCACTTTTATAAATATGTATGAGCATTTTAACAAGTCTGTTGTATTTCTAGCAATATTTTAAAAGGTTGAGTACAAGCCAATAATCAATCTTGTAAAAAGTATCCCTTAATCATAGCATACCATATATACAAAGACACAAACACACACATACACATTCACATATATAATGTAACAAGTATAATGAGATATCTATATCTATCAATCTCACATACACATACTGCTCATCAAATAAATATGAATTAGACTCAGGAGATACAGGCTTATATGTTTATATGAGAATCTAATTTCAGGATATTTCCCTCAAGAGAATTCATTAAACATTAATATTGTCAAATACTGAATTGTTTGGTTTTATGCAATATTTATGTTATTATACACCAAAGGAAGAACTGCCACACAATCTTAGAGATCAAGTAATCATTTGTTCATTCACAAATATAGTCAATTTTAGCCTATAATTTATTAGTTTTCTCTAAACCTGAAGTAATGTGGCCTGGGAAAAGGGATTGATATTTTTCTGTTAGAATTTTGTACTACAAATACTACACTTAAGACATTCCAGCTATCAGTCATATTTCATATATTTGATTGCCATAAAGTTGTAGATAAATATTATTTTAGAACCACTTGCACATAAAATTTTCCCTATCTCTTTGAATGACTATATTCTTGAGTTTATTATAACAAAGAAAAAGAAGAGGTCTTCAGGAATTGCAGATGTCAAAATACAAACATACTTTAAAGTTGAAAAGACAGCTGGGCTCAGTGGCTCAGCCTGTAATCCCGCATCTTTGGGAGGCTGAGGTGAGTGGATTGCCTGAGCCCGCGGGTTCGAGACGCACCTGGGGAACTTGGCGAGACCTCCTCTCTACAATAAATCAACAATTAGCCGGGTGTAGTAGTGCGTGCCTGTAGTTCCAGCTACTTGGAAGGCTGAGGCGGAAGGATCGCTGGAGCCCAGTAGGTCGAGGCTGCGGTGGCTGGGAGCGGCCACTGCACTCCAGTCTGGGCAACAGAGTGAGACTTCGACTCAAAAAATAAAATAAAATAAAGTAGAAAAGACAAAAGTCATCTCTGACATGTGAGTTTAACTCTTCAGAACAAATTTCAGTCTTGGTAATCAATAGTACTGGACATAAATCCATAGTTATGATTCAAAAGGGTCACTAAGCATATACTGGAGATTTTACATACCTATTCCAGATAGGATCATCAAACCAATCCAATGTATCAAGGACTGTGCTGTTTGTTTAACTCTCCTTGTAGAAAGAAACCAGGTGCCATGCCATCACACAAGCTGAAAATCAAACAAATAAGGAAGGGGTAAATAAGTCTCAACCAAGATAAAAGAATAAGTAGAATACTCAGATAACTTAATTGTGAGATGGAATATTATTAAATAATATGTTTAAAATTGGAAATTTATACTGGCATTTTTCTCAATGTAATTCATCAAGAAATCCTTTTATTCCACCACACCTGTGAGCATTCTGCTGAGAGAGTAATCCATAGTAGTTTCTGGGGAAAAATGAGTTTGTGTAACCTTCCTTTCCACACAGATGCCACATCTTGTGTCTCTGACATATGGTCACATGCACTCAGTTTGAAATATGTACAAATAACATACATATATTTATAGCACATATATAAAGCTGCCACGGTTTGAATGCATATCCTCTCCAAAAGTCATGTTGAAATTTAATTGCCATTTTAACAGTATTAAGAAATGGATTCTTTAAGAGGTGATTAGGCCATGAGGGCTCTTTCTTCTTGGGTGAGATTAATACTGTTATAAAAGAGAGAGTTTGTCCCTTTTCTTCCTCTGTCCCTCTTGCTCTTCTGCCTTCCATGATACGAGGACATGAAGTTCTTCTGCCGTGGGATGGCTTGGCAAGAAGACCAGATGTAGATGCCTTAACCTTGGACTATCCAGCTCCTAGAGCTGTGAGTCAATACATTTCTGTTCATTATAAATCACCCAGTCTATGGTATTTTGTGATAGCAGCACAAAACAAAGACACAGCTAAGTATGATCTTCCTTCACAAGCTTTGTAGCAAATACTTTAATAGTCACTTTCCCAATTCAACTTGTTATTTCACGACAAGTATTTGACATTCTTTATTCATCATTGCAATCAATATTTACTGAGAAAATAACATGAGGTGGGTATTGAGTTAAAAATAAATAAATAGGATTTGGTTTTACCTCCAAAAAGTCAAGTCTAGTCAAGTGGGAGACGCCAAGTTGGCTGCAGATGATGCCAATACAGGGTTTGGAATGCTAAATAATTGCCAGTTCAAGATGCAAAGAGGGTAAGAAGGTGACATCACAGAGCAGAGGGTCTATAAGCTGACTCTTGAATGCTGTATAGGAGAGGAATAGACAGACAAAAAGGGTAGGGGTAGGGAGGGAGGTGAAAGATATTTAGCCAGTATGCTCCAGTGCAGGAAGCTGAGATGGAATATGGCATGTTTTTAAAGCTTCCTTTAATGAGGCCCACAATAATTTGAGGGGACTCAAATATACACAAACAATGTGGCAGGGCATCCTTTTATAGATTTAGATGACTGCAAATCGACCTAACAGTACAAGCAAAAGCACATACCCTAAGAACACAAATTGAAATTATTCCTAAAATCCTATACACACAATACCTTATCCTGCCTTCACAATCTCTCCAGCAGGTAAAACAATGTGACTTTATCTCTACCATCTGTTAAGGGAAACTGAGGGCTTGTCCAAGACTACAGAAAATAGAAGTTCAAACTGGAGACGAGTCTTCCTTCTGTCACAAGGAGAGTTGGAATGCCAGGATTCTTGAAGAAGTACGTGTGATACAGTGTGGCCATTAGAGTCACTGTCCTATTTCATGACAGCAGGTGCTTGGCTGCTGTGGGTTCTGGGCACAAGTGAACTTGTTTCTACTTTGACTCTTCCTGAATCCAATGTCACAAATGCAAGCATGGGGTAGATACACAAGAGTATGATTAGGTCAACAATTTTTCACCTTGTAAGTTTCAATAATAGACTTCTCTGCACATCCATATTGCAGGCATGTCAGACTACTGAGGACTGTCCAGCAACAATGGAAAAATGGCTATTCTGTCTGAATCAAGCTATGATCTTCAGATTTCCCCTGCAGAATTGTTATATTTGATCTTCTCTCAGACCCTGTGGTTACCACCTCTGAAACCCCTAGTACTTTAGTGGCTTAACTGGTGTAGTGTGGGGACAAGGGGCTTTGATGCAGGTAAGAAGTTAGGTCTGCTTTTTCTTACTCAGATGGAAAAGGAGGCCAGAACTTATATGTAACATGTAAAAATGGGGGGAAGGGGCATGGATATGGGGGACAAGTAGGGTTCGTAATGCAAGAATGAACCCTTGTCTATGACACAGAAAGAGAAGGCTCATGTAAGAAAAATTTCTGATGGAGCCCATAAGAGTCTTCAAAGGATGTGAAATATAGTTGCTGAAGCTAGAAAGATTGCACAGGATGTTTGCTCCTTTCTTCTCTCTCTCCCGTTTTTCTTTTAATCTTCTGAAGCATAACTGCTTAGACTATTCCTCATTCAATTCAACTTCCTATCATGAAGACGAGAGACTAGAAAGTCTTTTGGTAGTCTCTAGATTGCCATGTCCTCATACAAGAGGGAAGAAATTGATATTTTCAGTACTATTCCAGTTGAAAAAGAGATGCTTGCTATGAGCTTTCTGATGTCGGAGTACATATTAGAAATTATTTTGACTTTAAAGAAGAGCGATTATTTAAAAACACAGTTCTTGCTACAAATTCTCTAGAGATAGAAACCAATTTCCAGCAACAATGAGCAATAATGCCTAGAAAACGGACATCGGGTGTGAGACAGACAAAGTCTGAATGGCAGCACGATCCTGAGATGGAACTTCTAGCAATGATCTTGTCTTACAATTGCTTGGAAAACTACACTTGTTACCACAAGAAGTAGGCTTGTTGTACTTGGAAGAATGCAAGATAGAAGATTAAGCTAAGATATGATCTGAAACCAAGTCAAAGAAGCAGAAAACAAATCCAATAGTCTCTGAGAAACCTAATGGGGGAAAACATGAATAAGACATTTAAAAGAGAAATTGGACTATATACCACATTCTAAAATGATAAATTCATGGAAAAATATTTATCTTGAATGTGTTTTCTGTTTAGTTGTGTGAACACTTGACAAAGTTCATGGGCTCAACAGATCTGACCTCAGTTATTTGCAATCTAATTCAGCACTTGCTATCTAGAAGTCAGGTTTCCAGAGAAGATTGATGCTTGGACCCTATGGATGAAAATTCTGGAATGAGAAATCATGGTCTAGAAAACTTCATACTAAAAGAGCTTGAATGAATCAATGCAAGAATTCAGGAGTGGGAGGGTAGTTGGACAGAATTAGAGCGGCAGAGATAAGGGAGAAGGAATAATTTCCTGTGTGGCTACTAACAAACCAGACATTGATTAATTCATCAAATAATTCAAACAACCTGGTGAAGTAAATACCATTATTACCTATTTGCCAATGACAAAACTATTTTTGCAAGATGCTAATCCACAGGAAGTGACCTGAGTTAGGATTTGAGCCTATAATTGTCTGATACTTAAGTGATTTATCTAAGCCACATTAATTCTCAAATAAAAGCAATATGTATTTTTATATCAGTATCAAAGAAATCAAAATAAAACAAAAATGGCATAGATTGTATTAACTACAATTTTAAATAAAATGTAAATGAAGTTGATTCTATTAAAAAGAAATAATAAACTCATATATCTGGTGGTATTGTAGATATGTACAGTTCATCAAATCACCAATCTGTCCCATACCTATCTTAAGAGTTCTTAAATATAATCATATTTGGGAATTTAGTAATCCCACTCACAAATTATTCTAAAGAAATAATTTAAAGTTTAAAAAATGGCATGCTTAGGAAAATAATCATTGTAGCATTACAGGTTGAATATCTTTTACCCAAAATGCTAGGGATCAGAAATATTTTAGATTTTGAAATATTTGTACCAGTTGAAGATCTCTAATCTGAATAAATATCTGAAATCTGAAATGCTACAATGAACATTTCCTTTGAGTGTCACGTTGTCATGAAAACAGTTTTGGATTTCAGAGCATTTCAGATTTTCAGATTTTCAGATAGGGAGACTCAATCTGTATTTATTATAGTGAATAATAGAAACTCTTTGTACATCCAACTTTTAAAGAAAATGTTGGCATATTAATTCTGTGGTATATTAAGTAGCCATTAAAGTAATAAATAAGTAGCAATATGGGGAATGATAATGAAGGCAGAATATAAAATTGCATGCTCTGATTATAATTAGATATGTAAATAAATATTAACAGGGTGATCAGAAAAAGAAGCAGTGCTAGGCAGAGTAATTATAAATGCACTGAAATCACAGTCCCATAATATTAAACTATACTCATTAAAAATATACATCAAATAAAAAATAGAAAGAGAAATTACAAAAAAAAAAAAAAACCCCACCTGATATATTTGGGGCACATGTTTATGTGGTTAAATGGCTTCTAGCATAAAATTTTATTTTGTTGCATCATATTTGATTGTGAAGGAAGGGTGAAGAAGATATATCCCTCTATATATGGATCCACACAGACCATGATAAAATCAAATTCTTAGAATAACAACAGGTTATGGGAAGATAGGATTACAATATAAGAAAGGTATGTTGACAAAATTGCCATTGCATGTGATTTTAAATGGATATATGATCAGCCGTCTCTTTCACTCAGCACAGCGTATCTCACTTCACATTCCCTCCATTCTAGTCCCAGTCCATTCTTTGTGGAAGGAGGGAGCTAAAGGGCAGAGCTGCAGAATTCTCCCATTCTTTCATTCCCTGCTTTAAGGCATTAGGCTATGTCCCCAGCAGGATGTCTTCCATCTCTGGAAAGCCATTCAGTCTTTGGCTGGGCAGGAAGAAGGTGCCTCTGAAGAAACACAAGCTAATTTCCGGTTGCTTGCTTGCTTCTGTCTCACATGGGAATAAGCGTGAACTAGCAAGGGATCATCATCTGTCTCACACAGTGCCCTGTTCACATCTCTCTCGTTTTGGTTTCATTCTTAAACTTCTAGCTCTGCTGCTCCAAAATATCTACTGTCTTTTAGAGACAAGATGAAGCTGGAGGAACATCATTGCCAATCTCCTTGGTTTACAGTTCTTGGAAAACAAAGGAACTTGGTATATGTATAAGTCTTAGAAATCATTAGAAATTCACAAACTCTTGCCATTCCCTTTGCATTAT